GTGGGCCGGTCCAGGAAACCTTGTGGTGGGACCGGCCAGGGAACCCCTTTGGTGGGACCGGCCAGGGATGCCATGGTGGGACCGACTAGGGAACTCTGTGGTAGGACCAGCCAGGGATGCCATGGTGGGACTGACCAGGGAACCCTGTGGTGGCACCAACCAGGGATGCCATGGTGGGACCAACCAGGGACCCCTGTGGCAGGACCAATCAGGGATGTCATGGTGGGCCTGATCAAGGAACCTCGTGGTGGCACCGACCAGGGAACCCCATGGTGGGACCGACCAGGGAACCCCATGGTGGCACTTGCTCGGGAGGGGAGCAGCACCCTCCCTCCAGTACCCCTTGCCCAAAAGCCCCCCAGCACCCACCGTTCCTCCGCAGCACCCTCGCTGCCTGCAGAAGGGGGGTGTTGACCGTCCCGTTGGCCGCCATCTCCTCGAAGGCTCGAGCGACGCAGAAGGTTGGCGGCAGGGCGATGCCCGAGGCGGAGGCGTGCTGCCTGCAGCCCTCTTCCATCTCCGAAAAGAGCTGGAAAAACACCCACGCGGGCATTCCATCCATCCCCCCCCAAAAAAAAATAAAGCAGATCCCATCCCGGAGCCGGTTCCCCTCGGCTCCCTCCCGAGCTCCCGGTGGTACCCGTGGGCTCACCTGGGTCAGGGTGATCTGTCCCCTCATCGCTTTGGTATAAGGACTGGCGGATCCGCCGGCGAACAAGACCTTTCGCAAGAAATTCCTGCCAGGCAAAGGAGGAGAGGTCAACTTGGGGGGGGACGGACGACCCCAATACCGGTGGGGGATGTTTGGGGTGCGCTACGGGGAGGGGGATGCTCTGCGCCGGGGATACGGAGCTCCATCCTCCATCATCACCCGGGACCGGAGCATCGTTTCATTACAGGACCGGGAGATCACTGCCCATTTATTTCCCGTTGGTAGCTCAATTACTTCGCCCTGCAGATAGACGAGCGGGGAGTTTTGCCAGGAAAAAAGCCAAAAAAAAAAAAAAAAAAAAAAAAAAACCACCCCAAAAAACTCCATAAAAAATTAAAAAATAACGCAAAGAGCAAGGTATTTTGTAAGCCGTAGCTCAAGGAAAATAATTTGTCCCGATCACAAGAACACAAAAGGCCTTCTCGGGCGGCAATAAAACAAGATTACGGCCACTGGCTTTAGGACAAAGCTCTCCTCCGAGTCGATAAAAACGCGGCTCGGTTAAAAATAAAGCGGCTTTTACCTGTTCCAGCAGGCTCGCTGTCACTTCACACCCCCCTTTTTTTTTTTTTTAAACATAAAGCGAAGCGAAAAAATGTTTGATGGCCCGATAATCTGGGAATTTATTGCTCCATCTGCTCCACGTCCTCCAGCATTCAGCTATTTAATATTTTATTCTTTTTTTTTCTGTTTTTTTTTCTTTTTAACCGCCTGCTCGTCTGTTTTTTAACACCCACACACTGCCGGGAAATCCCGACGTCGGGCGCTGCGCGTAGACGGAACCTGTTCGGCTCCCGTTTGGGAGCTTTTAGGGGATTAGGAAATCCCAAATACCCCGCGTTAAATGGGGCAAAGGGCGCGCCGGCACTCGGAGGGCGGGTTGGGACCCGCTTGCGGGGGGTCCACCGCTTTGGGTTTCGCCGGTTCCAACTCCTGCGCTGAGTTGTGTCGGGTCTCAGCGCTGGGGCAGGGGCGGGCTTAACTAACTATCCTGCTTAATTAGTTATTAGTTGCTCTTCTTACTGCTTCTGCCAACCTCCCCTGTGGTGATCCTCTCTCTTTGGGGGTCAGTTTTAACAGCTGACCTGCACCCCACATCC